GGAGCCCCTGATGAACTGGGACAGATGGCCCCTTTCTATCAGTCTCTCGATGGCTGCCTTCAGCTGGTGGCAGTCATCAGTCCGGTGGCCTGGGTGACGGTGGAAACGACAGTAGGGTTCGTTGGGGTTGATGGCGTATACTTCTTGAGGTGCCCTGGAGTCTCATTCCACTAGACCCCTCTCCTCGGTGTACTCCAGGATGACGCTGATGGGGTGCGTCAGGGGGGTCCGAGGGTGTTCTAGGAGCGTTGGTTGTGCCCAGGCCCTCAGGTTGTTCTTGTAACCTCCCCCGGGCTTGGCTTGGCCATGCCGGGGTCGATCACCGAAGGGAGCCTGCGGCTTCGTCGGGTGAGGTGGAGCCCCCAAAATCCGTTGGTTCTTGCCTTCTGGTTTGTGGGGCTGTTCAGGGTTTCGGTGATACTTGTCTACCTCTTTGGCCTCGGCGTACCTATCTCTCCTTTGAAGGGCCCTTATGTAGTTGCGGGGTGGTTCGGTGATGAGGCTTCTCGAGAAGTTCCCGGAATGGAGGACCGTTTACAAGAAAGCCATCAGGGGCCTCTCGTCGGCGCCGTCGACTTCGTCCGTCTCCTACCTCCAGCATTCCAGGAAGTCTCGAAGGGTCTCCTCCTTCTGTTGCCTTACATTTAGTAAGTGGGAGAAATGCTTCTTTGACCAGTGCCTTCCTGCGAATTGCGTCAAAAAACGCTGCGCGAGTTCCTACCATGAGTCAATACTCCCTTCGGGCAGTCGGTTGAACCATTCGTACGCTGGTCCTTCCAAGGTGGAGAGAAACCATCGGCACAAATATTCATCTGAGGCCCCCATCATCATCATGCTATTCTGATACCTGCTATAGTGCTCATGGGGATCAATCTTCCCCTCATATGGCTTGATGGTTTGCCCCCGGTATTTGCCCGGGATATGAGCCGCCAATACCCTTAGGGTGAAAGGCGTCCTCGTCCGAAGTTGGATGACGGATTCCCCAGAGCCTTCGTCAAGCTTCTTCTGCATCTCGTCCACCTAGGCCAACATGGCGGCGTATTTGGGGTTTGTCTGTGAGGCGGAAGCCGTCTCTTGGGCCTGATGAGCCTCCATCTCATCGAGCCGGCACTGGAGGACCTCAATGATATCGTCCCTAGGGTCCTTTGGCATTGCCTCCGCCCCGTGCGATTGCATACGGGCCAAGTGAGCCTGGTTGATCTGGTGCCTGGCGTCGTCAGCGTGCAGTTGTCCCTTGCCTTTGTTCCGAGGGGGGCGCCTCTCGTCTGCCCTCGAGACGGATCCTTCGCTCTCCTGAGGTCTTTGGAATGCCTAACCACCGAGGCAGTCTTGGACCCCAGCGATCTTGCACTCCTCTGAGCCTGACGAGGGCACAGGTCTGGGGCCTTTCCTTGTTCGCATCGCGCTGGTCCCGAGACTGGACTTCCTGGGAGGCGGTGTCATGAGCAATGACCCCCTCGTCGTTCCCGATTCTTGGAACCGAGGGTACGAAAGGGGCGGAAGTGGCGGGCATGGAAGGACATTCTCCCCAACGCGGGCCTGAGTTGGCACCAAAGGCCCGAAGGCACTAGGGTTCTGGGTGAGAGTGTGGATGAAGGCAGAGAAAGCCGACTGTACGTCGATAGTTAGGATCGGAGGGCTAATTTGGTTTTCACTACGGTCCCTCCTACAGGTTTCGAGGCCGACACGAGCGTCTGGAGCATTCTTCTGAGCTGAAGACGCAGGTCAGCAGTGACCTGCTCCATTTCAGTGAGGACCCCGCCTTCGGGAGCCTTGTTTGAGGCTTCAACGGTGTTGACTTCACCGAGACCTAGATTTCTATCTTCCAGGGTCTTGGATTGAACGCGAGTTCTACCCATTCTGAGGAGTGTTTTTCTGGGGGGGGGGGGTTCTTACTTGATGGTTCGAGCTCTCAACGAGAGCACCAAATGATGGATTGTGTACCTGGGATAACTTATCTGAAGGGTTATTGCGGAGAATAACTTAGAGAGAGGTCAGAGCAAATAAGAGTGAGAAGGAGTGTATATTCGATATATATCAGTTGTCTCTCTATTACAATGGAAAATGGCTACTATTTATAGCAACCATAAATGCTAGGGGCATTAATCGAAAAGACACGTGTCAAGCAGCCAATGGATGGGGGGTCAAATCAGCCAAGGTGGCACCGACCTGCGTATGTGGCTGTATTCAATGCGGTGGTTTGGGTGTGACGCTGCATTTAATGCGGTGATTCAGCGCACGTGGAGAGGAGATCCTATCGAGGAAAGCGCCTTCGGCTGTGCGTACTAGGGCCTTCGTGTGACGAAGGGTAAACATAGCTGGGGGCATCATTCCCCGAAGACTGTAAATGCCGAAGGCTCACATTTCAAGCCTTGTTCCCCAGAGATGTTTCCGGACCAGGTTCGACCGTTTGCTGAGTATAGAGCCTTCAGGCCTGGGGCCGAAGGCATACCTTGCATAGTACGGGCTATTCGGAGCCTTGCTTGCCGTGTTTGGGCCAACTTGGGCCTGTGGGGCTTGACCGTAGTATTGGAAGTATGTGGGTCAGGGGTTCGTGGGCCATATACTCCATCAGGAGATGAACCTGATAAGTTGAAAAACTGAGGTACCACACGGGCTCATAATTGAAACAGAATTTATCAATAAAGTGTATACTTTATATGACAAAATAGTTTAAAAACCTTCTTCAGCAAATTAATTCAATTCAAATAGAAAAATAACTGCAAAATTGTTTAGTTTTTATAATCACACAATCTAGAGTGCAAGATCGAGAGTGTCTATTAGATGAAAAGGTTGGTATAAAACTTATAAGTTGAAAACATGTAACAAAATCGACTCTAACAATTTTGTACTAGAAAGATCCTAATGGATGAGATGTAGCCCTTATATCGAAAAAAGTAACATAAAAGTACATTTGCATAAAAAATGATCAATCGAGTTATTTAATTGATTTTTGACCTGTGATATCAATTAAAAGATCTAAGAAAAGTTAACTCCAAAAAAGTAAAAATAATAGTGAAAATTTAAAGATATAAAATCTATATTTTTGTGTTTTTGGAATTGTTTGTATATCCTACATTTTTTGAAAAGTTTTTACATTTTAATTTTTTTACAGTTTTATTTATTTGTGAATTTCTTATTATTTCTTTTTTAATTTTCATGTCTAACAGGTTATTTGTCTATTTTGACATTTTTTATTATTTCTCAAATTTCTATTTCTATTGTTTTTAAATTTTATAAGATTTTTTGTAAAATTTATAAAGTATCTTAATTTATTTTTTAAAAAATTATTTGATAAAGCAGGTCAATATAGCATAGTTGATTGTGTTTTCAAACTAACCGTGCATATGTGATGCTAATAGTTTTTAGAACTTTTATCAATCAAAAAATTGAAAAATAAATGAATTATCAATTTAGGATCTGAAAGAAAAAATATGTCAGTATATAGTCTAAATAATTGAAAACTGTCAGTTTAGGACCTAAAACTCCATAAGTTTTGGTTTATTTATTTATTTTTATTAAATCCATTTGCTAATTGTTGATGTTTTTTCTTCACAAAAGTTTACCAGTTTAATAGAATCAAATAAAATTTTAAATTTTTAAAATAATAAAATATTAAAATTTATGACAACTTAAGTCCTAGATTGATAGTTTTTAATCGTCCGTACTCTATACCGATACATTTCATTCTTCATGTTTCGGATTTAAACAAAGTTGAATGGTATGTTTGGATCCTTCCCAAGAAATAATATTCTTACAACTATTTTAGCATTTCACAGTTGTTTTCCACAATTCCATTTTATATACATAGTACTACGTATAAACATATCTATGAGAGACATTTGTTTCTGTAAGCACAACATATATAGACATCAGTACAAAATAAATAGATGAGCGTATCATCTTACGGAGGCATGAATCAATGTTATTCAAATTTAATAATTGTCCCTTTAAACAATTTACATGTTTTTCATATAATTTTATTGCACAAACAATTTACATGGTTGGCGAACGGACTCGATCGCCCTAATGTGTATAAAAGTGTATACTAAAGCGTACGAATGGCATTCTCCTTAGCTTAAAATGGCAATATTTTGTAAAATGCATAGTAATTATTAGCATGATTTTTATAAATATTGAAACATTATAAATTCTTAATTCTATAAAAAACTATAGGGGTATATATGAAGCCAATATCGGGTAATTTTTATCACACAACTTGTACATTATGTGCAATCTACATCGGGTATGCATGATGACCAAAAGATATATTTTTATAATAATGTGTTTGGTTAAGTGTGAGAAGCACACTTAAGTATTTGTAGTGTCATGAGTTTTATTCTTGTCACGGTGTAATATTTTGAAATATTCCGTGTGGCCATTTACTCCTTTTCTCATAACACATACATATTCAAATCAAAATATGCAATAATAAATAAAATAATGTAAATGAATTTGATTGTTATATAAGCTTGTTGATTGTATTGTGTGAATTGTCAATTGTATGCACGTGGTTCCAACAAATTTTAATGCGTGTACAAATTCATTTTTAAACATTCTAAGCGGATTTTTTTGCACTGTTTTTGTTAAATGCAGAAACAGTTTGGTAACATTGTTTATCGACTTATCAGGCTTATCAGCCAACTTTTTCACCAAACACGTAACTTTTGTTTTCGCGTGGTGAATTGTGTAATAAGCAGAAAAAGTAAGGTTGAAGTTACTTTTTTGGCAGTATTGGCTGAAGTTACTGTGAATGACCATTTTAGCTATTTTTACATATAATTTTTTCTTTATTTTATTAATAAAATATATTTTAGAAGTTTGTTAAATCAACAAAATCAACCAATGCCACTTCAGCCAGAACTTCATAAATTTCAGTAGAATCAGCTAAATAAGCTGATTTTCGTGTTACCAAACGGGCTCGTAATGTTTGTGTTGTAGAAGGGCTTTGACCAGATATTAAGAAAAATAATGCAATTTTACTAAACACAGCCTTTCATTTCCGTTTTTTTTCATAATTCCATTTCTCTGCTTATCATTTAACGCCGCTAGACTTCCGTAAAACATCTGAGCTTTCCAAAAGGAGGAGTGAAGAAGCCCGATAGTTTTCTATTTCTCCGGCAAGCTACCATCTAAAGGCCGCACCAGACGAGACTGGATCTGGAAGTCGAGCTAGCAGTCCCATCCACGCCACCACCGTTGATGACGCTGCCATTGCACTGTTGTGGTTCCAAGTCCCGAGCAAGATGACCGTACAAAGCCCTCGCGAGTAATAATAAATAAATGTAAGAATTCGTGGCTCAAGAGTACACTGTATTTGATTTCTAAACCGTCTTAGCTTTCTCTCGTCCTAAATTACTCCGTATTCTCAATGCATTTATTTTGTTGCTGTGTGTGTGCACACACACACACACATCCAATTTCATAGATAAACCATGGCCTGCTTCTCACTCCAAGGTACGCACTATCTCACTTTATCTGATGTTCTACTCTATGTAGCACCGATACCGGTACGCGGAATCGGGGAAACGCTGACACGGGTACAGGGATAGGACAAAACAAAAAAAAGTAGGATACGGATACGGGGCCGTATTTTTAAATATTAAAAGTTATGGGGGTGTATTTACAAATATTAAAAGTTACAGGGGTGTATTTATAAATATTAAAAATAGATTTTTTTGGAAATATATACATATAATATCCTATGAAATATACAAAAAAAAAATAATTTTTTTGGATATATATATCCTATATATACATATATACCCATTCATTACATATACATCATAATATTTCTCATATACACTAGTGCATCTCGAAATATAAATGTAGACATGTAGTCGATAAGTCATTAATTTAAAATGAGAAATAAGTCAAACAACTACAATCTTGAAATTAAAAGTGCAAGTACCAAAGTTCTAGAATAATTAAGACAAAAAACAATATTTTAAAAGCTCTAACATCTAATACATATTTTCACTGGAAGTATTAATTTCCAGGAATAATATCATCTTCCAAAAAACTGCCAATGGTACGGGTATCCGTCAGGATACGAGTATCAGAAACTTTCAAAAAATTACAAAAAAAAATGGAAACTTTTAAAAATTACAGATACGGCCCCGGAACGTACGGTACGGGTATCCTAGAGTATCGGATACGGGAACGTATCCGATACGCCGATACGCTACCCTAGGGAAGTATCCGTGCTTCATAGGTTCTACTTAGAGAAGTCATTTTCTGGTAAGCTTAAAAATTAAAATTTGACAGAATTTTGGAGTACGTGCCTTGTCAATTTTTTCTTTGTGCTCAAGGACCAACATTGTAACACAATCACTAGTAGCTTGTACAACACTTTATTTTTTCAGGAGATGGTCCATATGTCCATATGTACAACACTAGTGTACGCCTGCATTATCAAGTTTTTTGGGGTTGTTTACAATGTGTCCTGGAAGGGAGCTTGGTGTCTATCTTTAAATTTTACCCCTGGTATAACTTAAGTTTTCCGGATCGGAATTCTTAGTTTTGGAATCGGCTTATTCTTCCAATAGTAGGCAGCCTCCTGAAAGCCAAGACTTACTGTCTAAAGTGAAAAAAGTTATAAACCTTACAATGACCATCTACGTTGATAGAAGCTGGCAGGTTATGTAACATGGACATCATCTCACAAGTACAACAAGTCATTTGCTTTGCCTTTCATGATAGCAGATTGCTCATGGATAGAATCTAAAAATCTAGATTAAGTTGACCTTTTAAGGCATACAATGTGCTATTACATCATCTTTAAATTTAACAATTCAAATGGTTATACTAGGTTCATAGTTCACAATTCATCTTTGTTCACAGTTCAACTTTGTTCAGAGTTTATACTAGGTTACATCATCTTTGTTCACAGTTCATATATGATTGTCTATATACTAGGTTTCTTACCTTTTATTCAAATGTATAATGTATAATTACACTCTGTCAATCTATTGCTACTAGTTGTGCTCAAGTGCTTGCACACGTTTACCCTTTTTTTAATATTCATCAGTATGAACTATGTAATCAGGCTATCTGGATAAAATCATGAACCCCGGAGATGAAATTATGCTTACTGAAGGTTTCGTACCTTTATTCAGTGGTTATCTGGATCAAATCTATTGCTCCTAATAAAAATCCCTCTATGCAAATAGATTCTTAGCTTCCGTGGTTATCTAGTGATGCTTTATTGCTTTAGTTAAGTTATATATTTAACTTGTGGAGTACATCTTCAAGTTTATTTTCTGTAAAAGATTTTATGTGCTTACAATTTACTATCACATTGTCTACCAAAATGTTCCATTTGGACTTCAACTAATTATAAATAGCTTTATCATATCTTGGTGGCTTCAATGATTTGTTATTATCCTCACAAATAAGGTGCTAAGTTTCTCATCTAATGTTTGTTAAGACTCCAATTTAGAAAAATCTAAGTTATGATTTCCATTATACTCCGTATTACTAGTACTAGTTAAGATAATAAACTGCCCCACAGCCCCACTATAGTATATAGCAATATTAATATACAAACAAGAGAGATGAATCATATAGATAATAAAGTAATTCATAACTCGAAAGGATATAAGGATGAAACAAAGCTTTATTGTCCACTTTTATAAACGTTTTATCTTAATCTTTATTGTCCATATTTCCGTTTCATCATGCAGGAATGCTTGATGATATTGTATTAATAAAACGTAGGCTGCATTTAGTCGTAGAAGGTTCCATTTTTTTATGATATTGTACTCACGTCATGTGGAATTAGGGATACTAGTTTTTGGCTTTCTGCGTTTATTGCTTTCTTCCTTCCTTTCTGTGTTTCCCAGACTGCTCTTGAGACTTTGTGTTTCTGTATACCAGGTTTGCGCTGTGCCCTTCCTACTAGTATGCTTTCTGCGTTTTAGGTTTGCGCTCAGCTTCCCAGGTCTGCGTTAAGCTTTGCGCTAAGCTTCCCAGGCCTCTGTTCTGCGCTTAATGCTTTCTTCGAGTAACAAGGAGCCGATCACTTAAGGGGGCTGCGTTTAAAAGATCCTTAGGTATCAACTAAGGGTAAATTAGATATTTGATTTATTTTTAAATATTTTTATTTAATTCAGTGGGTGTGTTTAGTAAAAAAGGGGCTGTATATACATAGGACCTAAAATATATGGATGAACGACAATTTGGACCCGCCTAAAACAATGACCATGATTTAGGATGATCTTGTGTCCATCATCTCACCATATGATCATCTCTGGAGTTTCAGGAAAAATACAATTCAATGAGCTACGCATATTATCAAGATTATGTGGCCTAAACTTAAAAAGATCGAGGTGAAATGAGACAAGAAATGAGAAAATCATTATTAAGATTTCAAAATGAACACATCTCACTATTTCAATCATATATTGGATAATTATAATCCACATCAAGTGATTAAAGTTGTGGCTAAAGTAAGACTTAATTATTTACAATTTTGATGAAGACACGTTATGGAAGTGCTTTGTTTTATTGATCGGGAAACAAACCCGCCGTGAAATTTACAAACGAGGCAATGGATTGATTGAAGGAACAAATACATACCAGTTTTAATGGTTTAGAAAAAGGTACCTAATACACTATATTTACCTAACCCTTTTGTATTGAAGTAACCTAACTAAACTATGTGTGTCTTTCATTCAAGATATGTACCATTTTAGACAAGGAAAATGATTGAGTGATATTAAATACTTCGTATATAAGTGTCAAGGAAAAAATGGCGATGTTTTTTACAACAATTAGAAATAATAAGAGGTTAATGTAGATTTCAACACTCCACATGAACCGTTCACAAATGCTTTCATGATGTTCTATAGGGAATGATGGGTTTCAAAAAAGAAATAATAGTACCAATGACGTATAGTTCAGTCCTAAATATGTCAATTGTCAAATTAGCGAGATTTTTTTGTATGTTCTATCCCAAATACTTTTCAATTTTAATGGGATCAGGAGCAACTGATGGTGACCAATGAATCGCTCAACAAGAAAAGTTCTCATTAAGATGTTACCTGACCCGTTCTTTAGCCCGAGAACACTAAAACTCTAGCTCAACTGATCCAAATTTTACGTATTCCCTTTTGCTGAAAGTACAACACCCACCACATAGAAGAAGACTACAAAAGTCAAATAAAATAATATTTGAAAATTTAAAGTAATAGTGCAAACAACTTAAAATTACTCGCTAAGTAAGTACAACTAGCATAAGTGAGTTAACTCTTATTAGCTATACTTATATGTAAGTGTTACTTTATAGGGGAAAATGTAAAATAGGCCCTCGCAATATATGAAAGAAGTCATTAAATCATCGAACTTAAAACACACTCAATTAAGATCAAAGGCTTTAGAAAGACGTTTAAATTTATAATTTAGTAGGTTGATCCCAGGTTAACTAGTCACTATGCTTGTGTGTGTCTTCCTTCACTTTCTTTCTCTTTTTTCCTATTTCTTTGTCTTTTTTCTCATTTTCTCCCTCTTCTTCTTCTTTCATCTTCTTCCGCATGTCCTTCTCTAGTCCCACCTTTTTCTTCCTTCTTCCACCCCCTTTTTCCTCCTCCAACCCCTTCCTTGTACTCATCGAGACATACAAAACAAACTTTTGCATGATCCTCATTCTTCTCCCCGTTAATCTTCTCAAAGGCCGTTCAGTAACACTATTTTTCAGGTTATCAGGCACATCAGCCAACTTTTCCACCAAACACGTAAATTTTGCTTTCGCGTGCTGAATTGTGTAATAAGTAGAAAAAGTAAGATTGAAGTTACTTTTCTGGCTGTATTGGCTGAAGTTGTTGTAGATGACCATTTTAGCTATTTTTACATATAATTTTTTCTTTATTTTATTAATAAAATATATTTTAATTTTTTTCTTAGATCAGCAGAATCAGCGAATGCAGCCACTTCAGCTAGAACTTCATAAATTTCAGCAGAATCAGCCAAATCAGCCGATTTTCGTGCTACCAAACGGGTTCTTTCTTCGGATGAGATACCTCAATTTTTGTCAGCTCCGTTGAGATGGAGTCTTTGTCAGTTGGGACATCCCTCTCCGCCTCACAGCCTGTACTATCCGACACCCACCCAAAATGATTAAATATTGAGTCAACTAGAGCCTCTATTTTCGGAAGGGAAATGACATTCGGTCGAGACGTTGTTGGCGGCACATGAGACAGATAAGATAGTGTTGGTTGCGATGATGAAAAACGATTCCGCTCATGATCCAAGACATACGGCTGAAGGGTGGTTTCCAAGAGGGGGCGCATAGATAATCCAAAGCGCCACACATAACCTCCAACAAAAATCTTGCTGAAAGCGAACACCACTGTTTGAAATCACATAAAAGTTTGTTTGAGAGGATGTAAGAGCTACCAGTATTCACAGCAAATTCACAGAACAACAATGGCCGAAGCCCCCAAAAGAGAGAGACAGTCTGTCTCAATGATAGGAACCCATTAGTATAATAATACTAATAATAATAGAAGTATATTAAATAAGTGTGGTAGTGTATAAGTAATGATCCCGGGCCATGTCATAAAATATGGGCTGGACCGTTAGGATATATTATTACTATAAGAATGGGAAGGGGAGAAGATGGGAGTTTGGCAGATTTTGGATTTGGGAATTTGGGATCTGGAGAGTTGAGGCCTCTCGAAGTGCCCTGTCTGTATCGTCTTCCTATTTTCTGCAAATCAGTTCAATAATAGTGACTATTTTACTGTTACGAAATCAGAGTACCTATCAATGGTATCAGAGCACTAGCTCCTGGTGATTGGAATTGTTGTGCGACTGCATTAAACTCTCGTTTTAGTGGTGAGTGGTCCGAAGGAGAGAGAGAATGGAAAATCGCATGGATACGTTGGGACTGGAGAGGAGGACGACTATGGCAAACCTCGAGGCTTCTATGGCAGCGATGAATGAACAGATTCAGAACACCATTGCGGCATCTATGGCAGAGATCGCAACATCTATAGCAGCGGTGAAGGAATAAACCCGGTCCAGAGAGAGATCGCGATCTCAAAAGCGGCCTTCTGCGTATCCCATTTTATCGCCAAATGCGCAGGTTCCTTCTCCTCACCGATCGACATCGCAAGCCAGTTTCCCCAGATCGCAATCGCCTATTTCTTCTTCCCGTTCATTGACTTCATCTTTAGCTTCGTTCAGTTTGCAATTGTGACCTGCATCTCCTCCCAGCTCTTTGCAAACTTCATCATTCGCAAGCAGTTCAGGACCAAGTGCGACGCGATCGAGAGGAGAAGCTTCGCAGGTCTCAATCCGCGAAGACGAACAACAACCAGAATCGAGCGAGGCATCACTCGCTCAATCCGCTCAGCTCACATGGCACTCCACATCGGATTTTGCATCTTGCGGACGCGAGAAAGTCCTATCCTTCTAGCTCTATGGTGGATGGCGATAACAGGAGAAGACATGTTCGTACGGGAATAAAAGTTGAATTGCCATTGTTTAACGGGTATGATGCAGACAGATGGATAGTTAAGATGGAAGAATACTTTCGACTCAAGGCTACTGCGGAGAAAAATAAAGTTGAAATAACAGAAAGAGCTATGGAGGAAGAGGCGTTTGAATAGTTTCAATGGTGGAAGGCTCTGAAAGAAGATAGTTGGAAGGCTCTGAAAGAATCCATAACGCGGCATTTCCAGCCTAACGAGGCATTACTCGCTTAATCCGCTCAGCTCGCATGGCACTCCACATCGGACTTTGCATCTCGCGGACGCGAGAAAGTCCTATCCTTCTAGCTCTATGGTGGATGGCGATAACAGGAGAAGACATGTTCGTATGGGAATAAAAGTTGAATTGCCATTGTTTAACGGGTATGATGCAGACAGATGGATAGTTAAGATGGAAGAATACTTCCAACTCAAGGCTACTGCGGAGAAAAATAAAGTTGAAATAGCAGAAAGAGCTATGGAGGAAGAGGCGTTTGAATGGTTTCAATGGTGGAAGGCTCTGAAAGAAGATAGTTGGAAGGCTCTGAAAGAATCCATAACGCGGCATTTCCAGCTTACACGCAGTCTGAACACAGGGAATCAGTATACGCGATCGCAAAGGACTTCTCTCAGTTCGCAATCCTCTACGCGAACTACTGTTTTTCCTTGCAGCTCAACATCGCAAGTTTACTCCCTCATGTTTGTGGACACAATGAAGTTTGTGTATTCTGAAAAACTGTTTGCGACCTAACCTGCGAACTCCAAGAATCAGGTAGCGACTGCGAATACACCTGCGAATGACTGAGAGAACTGGCTTGCGATGACGATTTGTGAGTTTCCGTAAGCGAAGATGCCTGTGGACTGAAAGAATAGTCCGGCGATGAAGATGAAGATTCTCCTCTCAATGGGGTCTTTCTTGTACGTGAATTAATAGCCGCTGAGTCAGTCTGCGAAGGGAGAGAAACTGTTCGCGACTGCGAACAGTGAGAAGAGATTCGCGATAGCGAACCAAGAGAAGTATTTTGCGACTCTGTCTGCGAAGTGTTGAACGACTGTGATGATTTGTGTGTGTCAGATATCGGAAGGTGCCTAGTCTTCCTCGATCGTTCTCCAGGTCCTCTGTGACGCCTCTGCTCTTCCGATTCCTCTGAGCTAGCCGAAAGTCACTTATGTCGATGATGATTATCTGAACCTTGCGAAGAATTCGAATGATGCAATCGACTCTTCGAACGACTTTGAAGTCTATTTTGTATTTCCGCGATGCTAACTTGCATAGCGGCCATCGTCGTCTCCATTTTATCTTGCCTTCCTGCAGTTTCTCTCAAACTTCTCTCCACTTCCATCATTCGTCCGTCCATCTTTGCACGAGTATATCTCATCCAGAGATCGTCGTGCTCTGATACCACTGTAAGAGCTACCAGTATTCACAACAAATTCACAGAACAACAAAAGGAACTGCACAAGCTTTATTGAAATCAAACAGAGCTACAATGGCCGAAGCCCCCAAAAGAGAGAGACACTCTGTCTCAATCTTCCCAACACCAAGACTAACGAGTCTAAACAGCCTACCTTGTTTCCCCCAGTCTATTTTATTTATATTAAACCATTCAACCGCCTACAATTATTAGTTATTAACAGAATTTAACTAACAACTACTCTTCTTTATCCTTCTTCTAGAATAGACTCTTCCATAATATTTGTCATCTTTATTTGGCTGTATTGAGTCTCTAACAGAGGATGGGGTTACGGGTGCAAGAAGAAAGAAGAAGGGGGAGAGAACTCAAATGGAAGAAAAAGAAAAGAGTGAGAATAATGTATTTATATATTAATATTTATAATATTTGCATATTACATCACGTGCAACGCACGGGTGAAATACTAGTTGTTTTGAATAGTGAGTGGTTAAACATTTTTTATTGAATGAGGTATTTAAGTGTGTGTTTGTCTTCATGACTTTCAGGATGATCGTATGTTAACAAATTGCAGAAGTTTGAAAGGTAGTAAAGGTACTTGGTTCACCCAAACTACACGGACTGAAACTCTCCAAATGTTCTTCAAAAGTGTGTTACGAGCTAGACCAATAATCACACCCCTCCAAAGCTTAAGCACGACTAGTTTTCCGGCCACCGTTGAGCTTGACGCCGTTCTCCAGAGGTTGTGCGTAAGGCCAACATATGACAATCTCATCGAAACCCTTTCAATCTTCTACTCTTCAAAGTCAAATGATTCTCACTCCTACCATGCTTACGCCATTCTTTTCCACGCCTGTGCTCGACTGTGCTGCATAGATGTTGGTCAAGCTCTCCATCAACACATGATTGCACACAACCCGATTGCGTTCCATGACCTTTATACTGCCAATCACCTTCTGAACATGTATTCAAAGTGCCACCAATTGGACCGTGCCCACCAACTGTTTGATCAAATGCATCGTAGAAATGTTGTATCGTGGACCTTGCTTATTTCCGGTTACGCCCATTGCGGGAAAGATGATGTATGTTTCAGCTTGTTCTCCCATATGCTAGCTCTTCACAAACCCAACGATTTTGTGTATGCTAGCTTACTTTCAACATGCGATGGTTTCCGCGGTAGGCAAGTGCACACGCACACTTTGAAAACTGGTTATAACACCTTTGTTCATGTGGCTAATGCGCTGATCGGGATGTATTCCAAGAAATTTGAGATGAGTGTATGCAATGATGGTAATGAACCTTGGATGATATTTAGTGATATGGAGTTTCGTAATCTTGTTTCTTGGAATTCAATGATAGCAGGTTTTCATAAGAGTGGCCAAGGTGACAAGGCTATGAGGTTTTTCATAATGATGCATTCTGATGGTATGGGATTTGACCGGGCCACACTGGTCACTGTATTTTCTGTGTTGTGTAAAGTCCTTGATGATCTTTCTTGGAGCCTTAAATTTTGTTCTCAACTGCATTGTATTAGCTTAAAGACCGGGTTTGTGCTAGATGTAGAGGTTGTGACCGCCTTGATTAAAGCATATTCCTCCTTTCTTGAAGGAAATATTGGTGATTGTTACATGTTGTTTCTTGAAGTTCGTGGGTGTGGAGATATCATTTTGTGGACTGAAATTATGGCAACGTTTTCTCAAAAAGAACCTGAGGTAGCTCTTTTTCTCTTCAGTCAGCTGCATAGAGAAGGGTTGGTTCCAGATGCCTTTGCTTTTTCTGTTGCACTAAAAGCTTGTGCTGGATTCGTGACGGAAAGACATGCCTCGATGTTGCACTGCCAATGTAAAAAGTCTGGGTTTACAGACTATTTAGTGCTTCAAAATGCACTCATACATGCATATGGAAGATGTGGCTCAATCACTGAGGCTAGGCAGGTCTTTGATGAAATGAGTTTAAGGGATACAGTTTCATGGAACTCCATCTTAAAAACTTATGCATTCCATGGGAAACAGAAGGAGGCACTAGAGTTGTTCGAGAACATAGATGTTGAATTTGATGCAACAACTTTTGTTGCTTTGCTCTCTGCTTGTAGCCATACTGGGATGGTTGAAGAAGGGACTAGGATATTTAATAGCATGTCTGCTAAATATGGTATTGCTCCTCAACTTGATCACTATGCCTGTATCGTTGATCTACTTGGGCGGGCTGGGAAGATTTTTCAGGCAGAGAAGATAGTAAGAGAGATGCCTATGAAGCCAGATTGTGTTGTGTGGAGTGCATTACTTGCCGGTTGCAGGAAACATGGTGAATACCAACTGGCCACCATTGCTGCTTCAAACTTGAAAGAGCTGGACAGAAGGAACTCGTTAGGTTATGTTTTAATGTCAAACATATACTTTTCTTCAAATGATCTTGATGAAGCATGCCTCCTAAGAAAGCAAATGATAGAGGCTGGAGTTCGAAAGGAGCCCGGATTGAGCTGGACTGAAATTGGTGGCAGGATACATGAGTTTGCTTCTGGTGGCCAAAGACACAACCTTGGAGAAACTATCCGTGCTAGTCTTCAGGATCTTGTTAAACAGATGAAGAAATTAGGGTATACTCCTATGACAACTCTGGTCCTGCATGACATAGAAGAGGAGCATAAAGAGGAACAACTGTACTACCATAGCGAGAAGCTGGCTCTGATGTTTGTATTGATGCATTCTGATGACCCTCACTACAAATCGGGTGTCATTAGGATAATGAAGAATATCCGTATTTGTTTAGATTGCCACAACTTTATGAAATTAGCTTCAGGGCTTGTTCAGAAACAGATTGTCGTTAGAGATTCAAACCGTTTCCATCATTTTACAAGTGGGGCGTGTTCTTGCAATGAATATTGGTAAATTGCTCCGGTACTGCTTCCCCTATCCGGTACCATTGTGGTATTATTAGTAAATGGCCACAATATTCGAATGGTTCTACAGCAACATAATATGACAATCATAATTGTGAGCGCAACAACTTAATGTGCAGTTTCATATTTAAGTTCATATTTGGCACAACGTCTTACTTCAATTCTTCTTGCAGGTGCAACAATACAGCACTGATGTGTAGACCTGCTCTTTATATAAGAACCGTGTAGAACACCCTCCATCTTGCCTTCCAGAGGACAGCAGCTACCAAGGGAAGAAGCTTCTCTTGGCTGTCCTCAGCTGCATAGTAAGTCCCAATTTCCCTGTTTGGATCTATTCGCTGCTCATTCAAACTCATTATCGTGTTGTATTTCTTTATAACGTTTAACTGTTTCATTAGGTTTGTATTTAGTTTTGTATTTGGTACTTGCAATTCCAATTTATAATGGGTCGCATGCATGAAAAGAAACACTATAGATGAAACAACGAAAAAGATAGAACTGATGAAACGTCTAACTCTAATTGCTATTTGATTGTGAAAACTTAGAGAAAACATATTTAAAATTTAATGTATGCCCATTTAATAGAAAAAATACATTAGGCGAGCAAAAGAGTTCTTTACTTTTTGTAGGAATACTCAAAACATTTGTACATTCTTTTTATCTATGATCTTTTTTACGTTCTGATAAAAAATATCCAGTTCACTACCTAGCTATATTCTTGAAAAAAATCAATGAAATAAGAAAATGTGCGACTCGTTTTGTAGATGTGTTATATTTTGAGTTAGTGAGTTAGCTCATCAATTGAGATAACATGTGTAGGTTTGCAGGGGAGAATCTAAAGGGGCAGGAGGTCAATCACCCACCTCAACCCCACTTCACCCCAATTCTGTCAATACATGCATGACTATATTAAGGAATGGGAAGAATGCACAAATGTCTTTAATTAATAAATCAATCATTTTAGTTTTTATTCTATTTCTTCTGTATCAATCAAGTTCTTCTGTCATTTTAACCGGGGAAAACTAATTAAAATACCCCAAACTTTAAAGGGATGTGAGATAAACACTCTAAACTTTCATACGTAATTTAAATATCCTGAACTTTATATAAAAAGTTATTTTACCACCATGGTCATATATTATTTTTTTCAAGAATATAAATTTATGGTGTTAATTGCATAGTTTAAAATAGCAAATCAAAAACGTTACAATTATAGAGTGGGGGTAGTATTATTTATTTTACAATGGAAGTTTAGAATGTTTATTGTATCTCGATGAATGTTAAAATATTTTAAATTATGAAATTAACACAAAAAATTAACATAAAAAAACAATGCATGACCATGGTGTTAAAATATCTTTTTATATAAAGTTTAGGGTATTTAAATTACATATGCAAGTTTGGGGTGCTTACATCACACCCCTTCAATGTTTAGGGTATTTTAATTATTTTCCCCTTTTAACCGTGAAATTAACTGTTCAATATATTGCATTTAAAAGTCACGTTTGTATAACAATATATTTAACGCATTGACCACTTGAAAAAAAATCCACCTCAAACCACATTTTTATTGAAAACGTGTTTTGTATGTTGTAAGGAATTGAACCAGTCATTTTATGTATTATGCTACATTTTTTTGTGTGGATTCTACATTGCTATATATACGGAGTATAATATGAATAATATATATATATATATATATATATATACACACACACACACACATACATACACACACATGTACACAGTTAAATTAAAAGGGATCTAGGAATAGTAGACTAGATAAATAGAATTATCAAAGTAAGGGCTCTAGGAATACTAGACTGGATAAATAGAATGAAAATTATTGAAGTTGTGCATACTTGAGATGAGTTAGCATTGGGTGTTGCCAGTTTCCATTCATTCCACACGTGGAACATACATGATCACAATTTATTTTCCTAATATATAGGCTGGAAGATGAGTGAATTGAATAATAAAATGAAACAATTTTCGATTTTGTTCCGTTTTCAATATAAATATATCCAAACTCCCTAAATTAAAACCCAATTATCTTTCATTTATTTCTATTGTTTGTAATTACCCTTGGTTTGTAGATGTAAATGTATTTCACAACATTTTCAATATATATAGACAACCACATGTATTATTTGTTTCTCATTACATTTTGACGAATTAACTAGTTATAATTTGAGGTTTCATATATTACTTTCTGGGCATCCCTCAATAAAAGTGCAAATTCCACGTACCATTGACAATGCGTTCGATCAAAATATTTGAGAAAATTTGTTATGTACTACTCTGGCCCCTTCGTATCATAATATGTGTTTTAGTAGGCTTTCCAGGTAATTTAAGATAACTTGTAAGTTTACGTACTGTACTGTACATTATAACAGTACTGTCATTTTTCATTTTCTTTTACCCCAGTGCCGCAAAGGCTCCCACCTACGGTGGGGTAAGGGGGGGTCGGATGTACGCCGTCTTACCCCTGTACTAAAGCACAGAGAGACTGTTTCCGGATGACCCATAGTGAAAATCCCGTCCAAAATTGCATGGACTGACTGCTGCTTCATAACAAAGAAGCGCAGACAGTTTAGTGAGCCATTTTGCTTTATTCCATCATAATCTCAAGCCAAAAAATAATGAATCTTTGGCTCCATTGCAGTACTGTACTATTTGTATATTTTACTAGTGTACTGTAGCTGCTTTTGGGGTGAGTTTTTCTTTCCAAAAATGAAAATGTAGCTAATATTCTGATACTGCCTAAAAATGAAAATTAGGAGTCCACTCTGCACCTTGTCCTTCGTCTCCGTGGGGGTTTCTGAACTGCTCTTTAGCTTTGTTGTGTTTCATCCATGTCTGTCTTCTCTTTGTGTCTGTCATATCTGTTTCAATAATTGAATTTTCATTTGTTAAAAAAAATGATGCAGAGGAAGTATTTAATAGAAACATAAATGTTGGATATTATGTTTTGTTTTGTTGATGACTAATTCTAGGTGCCAAACTGTTAAGTAAGTTATACTCCGTATGATTCTATAACTGTTCTTTATTTAGTATTGAACTATGGGTGGAACAGGTTCTAGATGCCAATTGCACAATTGATTGACCAAATATTACTGATCATATGCTTTCCATATTTGTTAGCAAACAAATAAGTGTTTGATTAACCATATAATCTATTTTTTATGTGGTCCGCCTATGCCAAGCTATAATGAGAAAGGATCGATTGCAATCATGGAGAGGATTCCAATATCTGTGCATGGAAGGAAAGGCTTTTAAAGTGATGAAATCACCTTCAAGAAGGTAAGTCTCTAAAATGGAGAACACGGCTATACAAGGAAGCAGTGGCGGAACCAGGGGGTGTGAGCAGGTGCCGGGCTTATCTTCATCCTTGCTGCTGTGCTGCCCCGAGGATGGAGCGCACTCGTCCGTCAGCAGATTTTATATTTTTTTAATTTGGGTTAGCTAGGTTGCAAGGACACCGTTGTGTCTAGTCAATAATGGGGGGAAAACGTTGCTGCAGAATCAGCAAATCAGCAAGGTCCAAGTGTCCATTTCCGTCCAGCAAGGCAGCGAGTGAACAACTTTTTTCTAAGAGAGAAAAACTAATGGCACCGTTTCGCTGCAGAAGGCTTTGGATGAACTATGATATTGATATAGGGTTGCTGAAGCAGAGAAGAAGGCTATAGCTACAGCGGTCAGCTGTAATCTGAAATTGAAGCTCCTCAAGCCTCATTTCACAACTTTCAAGAATCAAGTGATTTGAGGTAATTAAAAAATTGCAATTTCTTTTTGTGAAAGATGAAATAGCAAGTATATCTGCCTACTTTCGTGAATATGATTCTTTGATTCCGTGAATTGTGATATTTGAATTATAAGAAATTAACAATCAATTTTTGAATTCTGAGTATTGATTTATTGTACTATGGTGTAATATTGATTTTAGAATATTATGTGAAATATACATGTATGGAGAAGCTTATATAGTTGCTAGCGGTGTGCGCACGATGTACAAACGGTGCCTAATGTAGTTATTTGAAAATGTTATTACAAAAGAGTATTATTCAAAAAGTGAAGAACAAATAGTATATGAAAAGCGAGTTTAATTTTACAATGTTCTTAGTTTTTACAAAGTGAAGAAAATGTGGGAGATATTTTAGTAACACTAACAATAGAAATCAATGCAATAGTACTTGTTTACTACAATGCTAGGGTTATTTAATTGGAATATTTAGTTTGAATGTTTTTCCATCATTTGCGATGGAGCCAAGATTCACTATTTTTAATCTTGAGAATATGATGGAATAAAGCAAAATGGTTCACTAAACTGTCTGCGCTTCTTTGTTGTGAAGCAGCGGCTAGTCTATGCAATTTTGGACGTGATTTTCACTATGGGCCATCCGGAAACCGTCTCTCTGTTCTTTAGTATAGTGGTAAGACTGCGTACATCCGACCCCCCTTACCCTACGACCCTACTGTAGGTGGGCGCCTTTGCGGCACTGGGGTAATGATAGGGTGCTGAAATATCGGAGCCGCAAGAAACGAGGAACAATTGTTGACTGAGTCTTCATTTATTTATTTATTATTGTTTATTTGTTTAAATGAGTCTGTTAGAGAAATAAGTGGGGTTTGGTGTCATGCATCAGTCCACTAGGGCAGTTATTAGATCATGGATGGAGTCGGTTAATGTGTCAGTTAGTTATTAGATCATGGGAGTCAGTTATGGGTCAGTTGTATTTCCTTCTTTATAAATAGCCTAGCCTTATTCAGGTGGGATATGCAAAATCAATATTAATTTCAGACTTGGAGATTCTCCCTTGGCTACTACTATCGCTCATTTGTGAGATACTTAGTGTGAGAGAGAAATAGGAGAGTTTAGCCACTCAATTCGTAGCCTCTGATTTCTGGGTTCTATCAATTTGGTATCAGAGCAGGTTTTTATCCATCCATGGTGATCACACGCTCATCAGCGGCAACCCGCAATCCAGAGGAAAATCCATTTTCTGCCGATCCTCTGGCCACCATTGCAGCAAAACTGGAGACACTTGACGAGTTAAAGGAAAAAGTGATAGCCTTGGAGATTCAAGCCTCAAAATCCAACCGAGGGAAAGGGAAGACGAGACAGTGGGGCGATGATACTGAAGAAGAATCTGATTCGCACCGCCCGCGACCACCACAAGCAAAATTGAATTCCCGAAATTCCAGGGAGGTGACCCGCGTGGGTGGATTCTTAAGGCTGAGAAGTTCTTCCGTTATTACGAAACACCAGAAGATGACGAGGTGGACATATCTTCAATGTATCTGGAAGGAGATGCTCTGGATCTGTTTTCGTGGATGAATACGGAAAGGACTTTGCTTTACTGGGAAGAATTGGTGAAAGATCTAGAGGAACATTATGGGCCTCTAGAGTACTTGAACCCAGATGAGCATTTGTGCAACATTAAGCAAACAGGCTCTGTAGCGGAATACCTGCAAGAGTGGGCACGAAGGATTGCACGAGTAACCTACTGGCCAGAGCACTGCTTGCTTGGAGTATTCCTGAATGTTCTTAGAGAAGAAATCAGATCAGAAGTCAGAATTCATAAACCAAGGTTAGTTTATCGGGCTGCTAGTCTAGCCTTAGAATTTGAGAAAAAACTAGCCCAAATAAAGGGGTACAGGCCCAATTCGTTTGCTTGTGAGAGTCAACCCACCTTCAATACTAATCCCATTATTCCAGCACGTGACCAAGGAGTGACATCGGGAAATTCTAGTACGCCTTATTCTTCGACAAACCCAAATAGAGGCACAAATTTACTTCCTTCCGCAGCACGCTCGTGGGAAGAAACGAAACAGCAATGGCGCGACAAGGGGTTGTGTTTCCGTTGTGGGGACCCATTCCGACCAGGCCATCGTTGTTCTACTACGTTTTCACTGCTGGAAGTTTTAGAAGACGAGAATTCAATGCCAAACTCTTTGGAATTAGCCGAAATCACAGAACAGGAACCAGGAGTAGATGCCGAGATTTCTTTTAACACCATCCTGGGCAGTCAAACAGCAACAACAATGAAACTGCGTGGCTTATTGGCTAACAAGGAAGTATTGTTGTTAGTGGATAGCGGCTCAACTCACAATTTCATATCAGATTCACTGGTAATGAAACTTGACTTGGCCACCTCCTCTACTCAGACAATTGCGGTTCAGCTTGGTGATGGTCATGTGGTGCGTTGCAACTGTGTGTGCAAGGAGATTTCAGTACAACTTCCAGGTTTGACCATCACCCAAGATTTTTATCCATTTTCCCTTGTGGATTCTGATATGGTACTTGGAATTAAATGGCTTGCATCACTCAATACCATCCAATCTAATTGGAATGAGATGTTCCTCATGTTCTGGGTGAATGGGAAGAAATATAAGTTACAGGGAATATCAAAGAGAGTGTCAGCCTGCAAGGTTTAATCTTATGACCACAGTGGAGTCTGCATTTAGTACACCTGGTCATGACACACTTAATGTGGAAAGGGTGTCCCTAGAATTTGAAGCTGTGTTTGCAGAACCAGTCCCTGTGCCTCCATTCAAAGATCATTTCCATGCCATTCCTCTGATCCCGGGAGCTCAACCTCCCAGCCTGAGGCCGTACATGCACCCATATTTCCAACTGAATGAAATTGAGCGACAAGTGCAGGACCTTCTCCAAAAAGGGTCATTAGTCCCATCTCCATTCAATTTGCAAGTCCAGTTCTGTCGAGGAAGAAACAAGATAATTCATGGGGTATGTGTGTAGACTATCGGGCCCTCAACAAAATCACAATCCCCGAAACGACTTCGAGCTGTCAGGGAGGATTCCTAAAAACTTTGAAACGGCTCTCAGGTACTGTTAGATCTCTCATTCAGCAATGCTTTGTGTGTCGAAAGAGAAAATATGACGCATTATCACCTACTGGTTTGTTACAACCCATACATGCACCACAACAGACTTGGGAAGACTATGCATTCTTAGTGCAGCAATTTCCAGAATTTCGCCTTGAGGACAAGTCGGCTTTCAAAGGAGGGGGTAATGATAGGGTGCTGAAATATCGGAGCCGCAAGAAACGAGGAACAATTGTTGACCGAGTCTTCATTTATTTATTTATTTATTTATTTATTTATTTATTTATTTATTTATTTATTTATTTATTTATTTATTTATTTATTTATTTATTTATTTATTTATTTATTTATTTATTTATTTATTATTGTTTATTTGTTTAAATGAGTCTGTTAGAGAAATAAGTGGGGTTTGGTGTCATGCCAGTCCACTAGGGCAGTTATTAGATCATGGATGGAGTTGGTTAATGTGCCAGTTAGTTATTAAATCATGGGAGTCAGTTATGGGTCAGTTGTATTTCCTTCTTTATAAATAGCCTAGCCTTATTCAGGTGGGACATGCAGAATCAATATTAATTTCAGACTTGGAGATTCTCCCTTGGCTTCTACTATCGCTCATTTGTGAGATACTTACTATGAGAGAGAAAGTAGGAGAGTTTTAGCCACTCAATTCGTAGCCTCTCATTTCTGGGTTCTATCAGGTAATGATGATGATGATGATTTAGTTTGAGTGTTTCTGTTTTAATTTAAAAATAAACGGAGCTTTTGGTATTAAATAAATGCACCCTTAACATACTTTTTTCCATAAAAGGTATTAATGTTTATTCTAATTCTAATGTGTATGTTATTGACTACATTTTTACATACATTTAATTTGAATATTGAATATCCAAGTAGTAGAAATTGAATCATTGGTATTAATTTTATGTCTTTTCAAGTGAGCAACTGTCTTATAGTATGTATATTTTAAGCGTTTTTATGTGCTACCGGGTCATTTCATTATTTATTAAAGTGGAATGAAATAGTGAAGATATAATATTATACTAGTACAAATTTAGTACTCCCTCTGTTTCTGAAACAAGTTCCACCTTTCCTTTTCGGGAAGATTCAAAATTAAGTTCCACTTTCAAACATTTCCTTATTTGGTAAATTACTTACATCAAAACAGTGTCAAATAGTGTTCAAACAGTGCCAAACAGTGTTCAAACAGTGCCAAACAGTGCACTCCACAGTAAAGTCAAATTTATTTTCTTAATATGTGTGAAGTCAAATGTGGAACTTGTTTCAGAAACGGAGGGAGTACATCGGTAAGATATTTGTGAGTAATGTTTAACATGAGGTCCTATATTTGTGGTAATTTTCGTTTAAGATAATCCTGGTTGATGGTGTTTTCTGAGAAATTGAGAGGTAATATTAATAATGTGATTTGAAAAGCACATCTTTTATATTTTTTTCGTCTAAGAATTGCAATATGCTAATGCTATGTTCATTTTTTTGTAGAGGACACATTAATAATGTTGATTTCAGAATAGAAAATGTAAAGAAAAACTATAGCTAATGTTTGGAAAATGGTATTAGACTCAGACTTAGGCAACATGATTGAGGTGTGCGGACTTGATATTTGTGTATCATGTAACATGTGATTAGAACACAAGACAAAAGGGAATACACTTTATGGGCCATTAATTGTGTTGAAATTTTATTCATGAGTATTTTGTAGGAGTTGATTAGAGGTCAATTAAAAAAAGCAGTTTAGTGAAATGCTTTGCTTTAATGGAAAATATCAAAGATGTGCCTTTTTAACTCTCTTGGGATTTTATACTTTTTTTATATAATGTGTTTCTAACTATTGATACCATAAAGGTATATAAATAAATTTAGTTTGAAAAAATATGTAAAATTGAATTATTCAGTAACAACCAATTCTTCCCAAATTTTTCACTCTTTTTTCTTTATGTACTTATTTACGGGTTCCAAACTGACCTTTTGTATTGTTGTTAGAGATTTTCTTCTCTTCAGTTGCAGTCAACTCATGTAAGATGGTTATTTTATGAGGGGAATGAAGAAAAATCGTTATTGATACATTTGCAAATGCTGATACGTGATTTTGTGTTAGGAGTAACCCATAGATTAATATGAGGTTAACTCATGCATTGCACTCTTATGAATTACTCCGTATCATTATCTGCTAGCTTTCCAGAAAATAGCAAATTGTGGACAATATTATGTGCAAAAATAGTTTCATGAAAATTAAGATGTTTTATGTATAATATTATTCTCCAGAGATCAGATGTGATTATAAGTGCTCTGCAATTGGATGTCACGTGAAGAAGAAAATTGAAATGGAGAAAGAAGATCTAAGTTAATTATGTCATAACAACCTATGAGGGTACCCATAACCATGAAGGTCACCTGCCTTCATCACAACAACGGAGAAACTCACTGATGCTACATTCCCATCCAAAATGACAAAATTCACATTAAAAAATCACCACCCTTTTCCCTCTAAATAAAACTTTCTGCAGTTTTTGTCATTGTAGTGAAACTGTGAAAGTGGATGGGAAAGTGACACTATTCGGAGAGAAAAAGATCACTAGTCACTAAGATCAAACCAGACACAATTTATAGCATATACGTAGTAGTAGTACACAACCAAAAGATTCTTTACTACTAAAGTCAGTTGATATAGATGACCGCTACCTTTCCAGAAAATAACAAATTGTGAACAAAATTATGTGAAAAAAAGGTTTGATGAAAATTAAGATGTTTTATGTATAATATAACGTTTGATCCTGATGTGGGAAAATTTTAAAAGGAGCCATTTTCCTCAAATTTTAAGGGTATGTTTGGATCCCCAAAAATGTTAGAGAAAGGAAACCAAATGTAAAGAGATATTGTTTTGTTATGTTTGGTATAGCTGCAAAAAATGCAAATAGTGATTTTTTTTTCTGTCTAAATTCTTTATATATTTATAATGCTATTCTGTATATAATTTATAAATAAATAAAATAAACATATGAATTAAATTTATTACGTAGTACTAGATAAGGTTTAGCCTATTTTTATTTTCCAACATTTTCTCTGCGTTGTATTTACTTCTATGAGATCCTTCCTATTTTATGTGTTCCAAACAGACCATAATGAATCAAGAAGAGTATTTCCATTGCTAGAATTCTTGGAAAATATTTCTACACCACATGGAAATCCTAAAACATCAAGTATTTTCCGGTAAACAGATGGAGGGTTTAAATAGAATGCCACACATATTTTTTATCAGTAGCATCACATGCTTTAATAATTGTCCATATTTATAAGGAAAGTATCGTGTATATGCTCATATATGTAGTTTTTAAAATGTAATTGTGTTCTCCAATGACTTATGCCTACATTTAAACATTAGAAAGTGGTTAAGGCATTTTGTCGAACATGTAGTAAACATTCGTGAAATCCTTGACTATGAAAATTAGTTGCTTACTAAAGTTGCTACCGAGTTGGACTGGGAAAGAAGTCTAAATGTTTAGTAAGAGTGTACAGATAGAGCTTGAAATACGAACAAGAGAATTAACAAATTCAGAGAAGAAGAAATAGATGGATTTAGAAATGGAGGTCTGAGATGGAAGAATACCACTTCGTTGTCGCAGATTAAGATGAGAAGGGGAAGAAAGTGTCCCCGAATGAAATTAGAAGAGAAGAAACTTACTGATCCTCTCTTTGGAAGTGAATGAAATAAACTTCGCGTACGGTAGGCGCCTGTTGATGGCAGATTGATAACCGTGAGACAATTCTGAATTGTCTGTGCGTGCGCAAAGGGTTGGTTAACAACAATGCATATTTCGAATCTTTCTGTCTGATGAAATGTTACATGCAAATGAGATAGATGCTAAATTGGAACAAAAAAGGATCATAGTAACCCATATTTGCTTTTATTATTTAAGCAGATATATGTGTTTCAATGTGCTATGAATAAGAGGTACATTTAGCAATTGTATAACATAAAATCCATTGGTTTGGTATTTAGGTGTAAACCTGTTTTTCTAATGCTTCTATTTATACAATTATATGTTTATTTAATTTTCGTTACAATTATTATCAATCATCAATTTAAGGTCATTATGTTTAGTCTAGATCCTGGCATCCCCTGAAACAAAACGTTGGTTTCGCCACTGCATGGAATGACACTACAACGATTCAAATGATGCACCCAAGAGCCTTATATATTGAGATCAAAGTGATGGTCAAGTGGCGTGCTTGAACGTGAGAAAGAATACACACAGAAGATGTCCTTTGAAGAATCATAAGAAGATCCAGCAACTGGAACAACTCATTGAGTAGTTCTAGTCTTAGTTCTTTTCACTTATTTGTAAAAGGGTTTTAGGAATAGCTTTGTGAAAGCTTCCTTCTTATGGTTGGGGTGTGTGTTGCTAGAGCTTTGCTATAAAGCAGAGAGACACTTTACCCGCAAAGTAAAGATACAAAAATCTATCTAGAGAGAATAGAGTTGGTGTGGCTTTTCTTGTAGGGTTTATCTTGTAACCATTTCAAAGGCTTTTAGTAAAGGGTTTCAAATGATGGATATTCATACATATATCAACAAAACTCCATATGCGATATATATATAAATATATAACAGCTAAATCCATATAAATCCATGAAATCAAATATGTATGAAATAAGATTAGAACAATACCTTGAGAATTCATTTGCATTAACACTTTTGGAAGATCCAGAAATCCAAGACCACTAGTAGGCTAAACCTTCCGATGCAGTGTATCGAATATGAGATGTCATAGTCTTATAATAGATGGGATATTTATAGGAGTAGTTTTACATTGTAACGGTTGGCCCTTGATTAATTCTAATAATTCTTTAATTATTGCTGCAATAATGGTATTATTTAGAATAATTTATTTGGTCATTTTCTGTTACAATATCTTTACTGTTATCTCTTAATTTACACCCATCGGGGGTCATAACCGTTGTATCACTTTAGTATAATATATTTAATTTGACCCGTCACCAAAAGAAATATATTATCCTGATTCTACACTTTTATTATTTCATGAATAACCACTGTATTATTTATCTGATGGTAAACACATTTTAATTAATTACATATTAGGTCCCTTTTATTGTTTTCCGACATCAAATTCCCCCCAGGGAGGTTGGGGTTTTTAAATCGATTTAGAGTAAAGGGATTTTTTTCTCATTAAATCTGTGTGTTCTTTAATTTCTAATTTTCCCTTTTCCCGTACTAGCTAGATCTTGGCAAACAGTTCCGTACTTTAATAACCGGTTCATCAATAAACTTAGATTATTTTTGTGTTAATTATCAAAATAGGACTAAAAGTCATTCACTTTGCATAAATAGGACAAAAAAAACTATGTTTTCATAGGACTAATTATGTGTGTCTTGGACAAATATACCCTTATAGCTATTGAAATGTTTCAATTCATAATAAAATAATAAAAAATAATAAAAAATCGTAAAAATACTAAAAAAATTATAAAAACATTTCGATAATAAAATTTTAATTATTTTTTTTTCGAAAAATAAAAAAAATTTAAAAAAAAAATTAAAAAATTAAAAAATCAAAAAAAAGAAAAACAATTTGCCGCTGTCTCTGCCGCCTCAGCACCACCACCTCCAGTCACCAGGAGAAAAAATGCCAAGTTCATTACAATGTCATATTTATGGCAGAAACCAATGAAAATGTTGCCATTCGCAAAGAGAAATATGCAACTTTTTTGGCATTTTCAGAAAAAAATGGCAGTTTTTAGGAAAAATGGCATTTTTTTCACCGTCCGGAGGTGGTGGTGCAGGGAGGTAGTACAGGCGGTGGGAAAGGCATCCATATTTTTTTTTAATTTTTTTTATGGAGTTTTACTATTTTTTATTAATTTTTTAAAACAAAATTATCAATTTTTTTTTTTGAATTTTTTATTGTATAAATATTTTGAAAATTTTTTATTTATTTTTCTACGAATTTTTGATTTTTTTTCGAATTTATTATGAATTAAACATTTAATTAAGCTTTTTGACTATTTTTAACTCATATTTAATGAAAGGGTAAGAATGGAAGGCAAAAATAGGTATGTTTCCAATAGGACTCATATGGTCCTATTTTGGAATAAAAACATAGCAATAAATTTATTAGAAGTTGTCTCAAATATATAATTAAATCATAAAGAGTGAATACATACTAGTAATAAATAACATTGGATCAGTGATGAAGTAATTTTAATTAATCAATACGATCAGTATTTAGCATTACACACATAAAGATTAGTCTATTATAAGTAATTAGTGCTGCGTACATGCGGGCACTTTTATTTATAATTTATATTATGAACAATATAGGTAGGTGGGTAAAATAGATCGAATAAAGAAATAAAATCAAACGAAAGAAGTGACAGAAGATGTGTAGATTCCATCGGGCTTCCAGGTGGCAGGGATGACGTCCGTGGCGGTGAGGGTGCGGCCAGCGTCATCTGTGAGTATGATGGAAATGGGTTCCTTGCTGAGTCCGGGGGCGGGCACGTCAGCCTTGAAAACCACACCCCAGGATTGGACCATGTTTATCAACTTCCCGTTCGAACCCTGTTTCAGCTGAACCCGGCTCAGCGTTCCCCGTCCTTCCACGTTCTGTATTGCCACTGCGAAATAGTAGGGGCTCGAACCCGCGTCCACAGTGAAGCTCAGTGGCGTCTTCCCCCAATTGCAATCAACTCTTTTATTTTTTAATTTTTTAAAACACAATATATGAAACGTAACGTACGCCGCAAGCAACCATCCATCCGCACATACATGTACGCACATACATGTATGTATGTATATATATATATATATATATATATATGCCACAGACAACCATTCAACATCACAATTAGTCACAAACAAATGGTAATTAAGACTGCACCATAAAAGTATAATTCTCAAATTTTATACTTTTATGAAAATATTTTGAATAAGAAACAATTTGATATGTAGTATAATTTTCATATTCAAAGTAATTTCGTATTAAAAAATATCATTGGTCAAAGTTGATTGTCATTGACCAAGAAAAGTTAATTTGACTAGTCAAAAAATGAATCCTGAGTTGGCTAGCATATTGCTTGATTATATTTGTGCACGTGGTTACCGTTGATATTGAATCTTAAGTTCTCCGGCGTCCCGAAGCTGATCAGCTTTTCCGGAAGCCGCTAAACTTCCAAAAGAAGTGCCACTCAAGTCAAAATGGTATGGATCTGATGAACATATTCCTCCGACAGGGCACTCATCTGTTATAACTACGGTCACCGGATTTCCCGAGCATAGTGCATTACTACTTTCACTGCATTTTACCTAAATACATGATAATATATATATAAAGTCAAGATTTGTGATTATATTTTATATGAGGGTATCATACGTGTCATGCATTTGATTAGTCCAAGTCATTGTTACTGCCACATCATTTATTTATATTTAAATCATTCAATTGTAATATTCTTATTGATTCTTGCCTATAGTATTTTAGGGTACCATACCTTATTATAATTACTACGTATGAATGTATTAGAGGATGAAAGAATACGGAGCACTACCTCCGATCCTATTATAAATTTCCAAATAGGTTTGACACACAATTTAAGATAGTGAGTATTGTGTGGTGGAGAGTTGTGCAGAGCAGAGAAAAATGTGTAAGAAATGTTGTGAACCACAAATTCTTTATCAAAAAGGGAAAGTGAGAGTTTTAATTGGAACTCACGAAAAAGGAAAGTTGAAAGTTATAATGGGAACGGAGGGAGTATAATTTTTCATCCACTTTTTGATATGTACTAATAATAATAAAATAATTAACCTGGTAACAAGCTCCACATCCTTTTCCAGAATTGAAGAGGGAAGAGGCACCCGCTGATATGAGAAGCGAGAAAGGTTGTTTCTCTACATTGTTTGTGTATCCACAAGCTCCACCTATATATATATAAGTACACATACAGCCATCACCATCACATTTTATTAATTATTATTCCCTCCATTCATATATTATCTTTCCAAGTGAATTTTGCAAGAATTGTGTTATGGAGAGTTGTTTGGAGTAGAAAAAAATGTGTACGAATATTTAAGAAACATTATCAACAACAAATTCTTTGTCGAAAATAGGACCAAATAATATAGTCAAACGTTGTAAAGTGCGGAGTAATATGTAATTAATTACGGAGTATTTTTGTTTCAAGTGCATATATACATGCATTTACACATACATTCACTTTTGATCTTATATAAACTTGGGCCTGAGTGACTGAGTCGAGTTTCAAGAAAGACCCCTATATGTAGTATTACATACGGAGTATGTAAGATGCATATGAGTTTGACGCGGGGTTTAAGAAAATCAAAGATAAAGTAGTTATTTTACAATTTTAATCTACATAAGTAAGAAAGAGAAAAATGAAACCACAAAAGTAAAGGGTGAAATGACAGATAAAAAGATAAAGTGAGAAAATAAAAAGTCAGTGGAGTCGATTTTAATAAGTGTTCATATTGTGACAAACAAAAAATGAAAATGTATATTACAAATTAAATGGGACACATTAAGTGTTTGTTTGTAAAACAACATACTATCGTATGTATTTGCAAATGAAAGTTTAATACCACAAAAACCCAAACCTAAATAAAATTGTTACATTATAACATAACAACACAGTTTTAGAACTAATAAAGTACATCTAACTAAAAAAGTATTAACTAATTCAGCATAACCTAGATCTTCTACAATTATCTTCTTATTTGATAATAAAGCTAATTCATTCAATCTTTTCTAGACATTGTCGATCATAAATGTCTGTTGATTTCAAAATTTTCAATCTTGATAACCTTAAACACAAAATAGTTTTCGGAATCTCAAATATAAAAATTTCATCAAGGCACGATCGCACGACCCTACTTGACTACTTCATAAAACAAGGAAGAATCAACTTGCTTTAAATTTTTAAATAGCAATTGTTTATGCAAATACTTCAAACCCCAACCGATATGTACGAATTAGTCAATAATTATAGCAATTAAAAAATAAAAATTAATAAGTTAGTTCATTCGGTTATGAAAAAATAATTCATCAAATTAGCTCATCAAATTACCACATCAATATAAAAGCTATAAAGGATTGGAAATAATACTACCTAATATATCAACGAGTTTGGGAATTTGGGTCTGTATATCCCTACTTGATTGATAACTCTATTATTCTGTCAGTGTTGTTAGTTCTGTAACGAACGATTATTCACAACCCCTATTTTTATTTTATTTTGAATACATATACTATCGGTATAATATAAAGGTATTTAAATTTTTGGTCCCTTAAACTTTTTACTATGTGATTTTTTTGTGGCCCTGAGGTCCTAGCCTCACTGGCCTAAAGGAAGGCCACATCACACACACACACACGTGTGTGTGTGTGCGCGTGCATGGTGTGTTTGGTACAATTAATTAGTTTATAATATATTTTTATTAGCTTTCTAATAACGATATACTTTTAGTGATTAAAAATATCTATAAAGAAAAATGTTTTAGCTGTTTGATAAAAGTTAGATATTTGATTTAGTTTTATTTGATATAAAAATGACTAATTAATGCTAGTAGTCATAAATTTTCTCTTAGAATTTAATTAGTGTAGCTTGTGAAAAAAATTACTACGTAAATTTTGCATGCATACCTGTGCTTCCTCCACCATTGGCGCTCCCATACCAAGTTGCGGTAGCGTCAGACCAGCTGGTAGTCGTAGTACCAGTTTGGGTTTTTGAAACGTTGAACATCATCTTAGGGTTGAAGCCATTACAGGAAATGGCAAGAATCGAAAACAACATGAAATACATAACCAATTTATCCATGATCAACTATATATTATAATCTCAAACCTATATTAAATTAAGAACTTGTATATATAAGGTATTAAACCAATTTAGCTATATATATATATAAGGTGGCTACTTAAATTGAGAACTTGTATTTTAAATGTGAGTTGGCCAGCTAGGGCTTGATATGATGAATGAGCATGCATTGCACACAACTGCTTTTTATAGAGAAAAAAGGAGGGTTATGATTGTAATTAATTGCATATTGTATTTCTTCTTTTTAATTTTTTCTAGGCTCTCCAGGAAATATTTGTTATAATATTGACTTTTAGATAGTAATTACTTTCAAGTTAGTAAATTATTTTTCTTAATTACTTTAATACTTCCTTCGTACTTTTTTAATCGTAACGTTTCTCTTTTCATGTTTGTCAATGAACAACTTTGACCATTAATATATTTCATTTTCTATTAGTAAAAAAATTAAAAAAAACATATTTTGAAATTATATGACAAGACAAATTTAATAACATTTTTCAAAAATTAATTCGGTAATACATTAATTAATGAATAAAATGTTGTCAAACTAGAACATGTGAATAGTGCAAAATTCAATATGTTATAATTATTTAAGAACAGATGTGGTATTATATACGTAGTATATATGAACGTAACAATTGTAAAAACGTTAAAGAATTTACTTAGAAACTTAGAAAACAATACTCCGTATTAAAGATCAAAATGGGGGAAAACCACAGTTCACTTGACTAATGAGTAGTAAATTGAGAGCAACTAACGGATTATGTACGACTTATATATTGTAAGGTGATATTTCTATCTTAGACATAGAAAAAAGAGATGTTATTTATCTACTAATTATCAAATTAAATAAAGAGCTTATTGTAAAACTAACATAATAATCGATCATAGTTGAGGAAAGTAATTATATTTTGTTATCTGTTGGATAATTATTTTATGTTATACATATATCAATGTATTATGATATATAATCTGCATATATGTGGATCATTCTTTACACTAAAAAGTGAGGTATCGTCAAGAAAATTGAGAGGAGCCGAGGAATAAATGCATGTACCTAACAAAAGCTACATCGAGATAAATTACAAAAATGGACTAATTAGTATTTTAATATTTTTTTAATTTAATATTCCATTTTTCTAAATAATATGAAACAAAACTACGAAAAGTGTCATGAAAAATCGAAACTATCTAATAAACAAATACGGAGTATAATAAGAATACGAATAAAAAAATAACAGAAGTGATGAAGCGTGAAGTCCAACTCCAATCTGCCGGAGAAATTATTTAAGAATAATAAAAAGCATTAAAAGAATTGGAGTTGGTTGAGTGCCGCCGCCTGGGTGATTGCTGCCACCTAGGTGAAGAAGAAAAAGAAGAAGAAGAAGAAGAAGAAGACGACTTGATTTTGCTGGAGATGGCGTCCGGCGCCGAGCAGGCAACTGCGATGATAGGCCAACGTCGAGTTGCGAACTTGCGATAGATGGAGGTTGAGCTGCGATCGAGTTGCGAACAGTTGAGCTGCGTCCTCTGGCGATCGATGCTGAGGGATTTGGGGAAAAGGTGATTTAGGGATTAGGGGCAAAAAGGTAATCTGGAGTCCCATTCAGGAAATTTAAAACTTGAAGTCCTATTTTGGAGTTTTAACCATGTTTTAGTCCCATTTAATATAATTTCTTTAAATAAATCGCAACACAAGAAGAAATGTGATAATGGCCTCCGGGTAGCTTTTACTTGGTCCAAAAGGTGAAATCTCCCACCCCAGGAGCTCCCCATACCCCGACCCGACAAGATTTTTGGGAGGATGTTAATCACGGTGACTCAGTCGGCCCAATGATGGTAGGCCTTTTTCCCGTGCGCACTAAAAGTCCAGCCTTATTTCAGGTTCTGTGACCTCCACACGGCCGCTGCGGGTTTCGAACCTTGATCACTTGGTCCAAATTTCCCACCACTGAACCAACTGAGCTACCGGTGCGGGTTCCGAGTAGCTTTTACCATATTACGCAATAATGCTTTTTTTATCAGGACCCAAGCTTTTTGGGGCCCCAGATTTTAAAAAATAGTATTATATAGTAATATTATATATTGATAATAATCGGTAAATTCAGTTAGTAAGGAAGAAAAATATAGATTCATCATTTTTTTGTTGGTCCTTTACTCTTTTAGTAAAGGAGTGTACACATAGCGTAAGAGTAAGATATGATACGCTCCAAACGGATAAACACACAGTAAGATATGAGTGTCACAAATACTTAGCCTTATCTCTATGATTGAGCGTTTTCAGTGAAAATAGAGCACTTTTAGCGTAAATACAATGTATTTTAGTAATTAGGAAATCATCCCTTGATATTCTAAAACCAGAGCCTGAAGACAAGTTTTAGAACTCGGTAGGATCTTTCCAACGAGATATTAAACGCTTTCAACGGCACAAAATAGAGCAAGATATGATCACATCAAATTCTACATGAGTTCGGAGTGAAATCAGAAACATTTGTGAATATATGGTTAATCTGTAACTTTTAATTAATGCATTGTAAATGAAGTTGGAACAATAGATTTAGAGCTCCGATCTATTTTTTTCAACGAGATATAATACGCTCCAAAAGGATAAACACATAGCAAGATATGAGTGTCACAAATACTTAGCCTTATCTCTATGATTCAGCGTTTTCAGCGAAAATAGAGCACTTTTAGCGTAAATACAGTGTATTTTAGTAATTAGGCAATCATCCCTTGATATTATGAAACCAAAGCCTGAAGAAAAGTTTTAGAACTTGGTAAAATCTTTTCAACGAGATATTAAACGCTTTCAATGGCACAATATAGAGCATGATATGATCGCATCACATTCTACACGAGTTCGGAGTGAAATCAGAAACATTTTTGAATATATGGTTAATCTGTAACTTTTAATTAATGCATTGTAAATGAAGTTGGAACAATTGCTTTAGAGCTCCGATCTATCTTTCCAATGAGATATAATACGCTCCAAACAGATAAACACACAGCAAGATATGAGTGTCACAAATACTTAGCCTTATCTCTATGATTTAGC